CTATTTGCCTTGAGATGTTACAAAGGTGGTGGGGGAGAGGGGGGCAAGGGGAAGAAAAGAAACTTACTTTGGAGAGTTGCTAGTAGCTGAGATCATGGATAAAGATTTTGTTGAAAAGGGGTTTTACATAGCCTAGTGTGAATAGAAAAGTTTTTGTGATGTCTCTTGGAAAAACACCAATATAAACACAGAGCAGAGGAGAATTATTTGGTTTTAAAAGCTCCCCTACAGGTAACTGAAGCAGGCCACCACTGGGAGATGAAATGGAGACTAGCTGGTTTCACTGCACAGACTGGGTGGAACACTGAAATCTAAACAAGGGGCATCCATGGTGTTAGATCCAGCAAGAAAGGAGCTGGGCTTGGATTTGGGGGTGGTGTGGGAGACATATGGGTAGGCTGTGGTCACCTCATCCCAAAGCTAACAGCTGTAGCAGTGCTGTCGATGGGTCAGCAGGCTGCACCTGGGCTTCATGTCAGTCTGGTGTGAAGGACAGGGCACCCAAATGAACTCCAATCCTTCCACTGGCAGAGTGACTTGAATAAAATGGGGAGCTATTGTGGCAGATGGGGAATTGTCCCCTGGTTCCTCGCCATTTTCAAATTCCATCTACATCAGAAGGATTTGGCTCCCCCCAGTATGATTGGTACATAAGTCATTGAGGATCCTGCTTTCCACAAGTCATTTTGAACCAGTTTGAGGCCAGGTGGTGGGACCCCTGGCACACACCAAGCTCCCTGACTCCTGCTGTCATATAGGAACGTGTCCAGGCTGCTTCCATCCCCTGAGCCCTGACAGGACCATGTTCCTTGCTGGGAGTTGGAGGAGCAAGGATTCCCATTCCCATCTCCTTTGCGAGTGTGGCATTCTTCCTAGCTCATGCTTCCTGTGCTCAGACCTGACAGGCAGCTCATAGCAAAAAGGAGTCTACAGGTTGCATGAGAAACCATTGCAGCTCATGCTGTCTGGACTGAATTGCATGACACTTCCCATTGCAGAACAAGACTGGTTAAATGATCTCTTTCCTCCCTGCTCACCATGAGGGTACAATTATGGTAGATCATGCTGACTGGGGGTGTGTTAGCAAAAACAGCAGCTGCCTCGCTGCTGGCCTGCTAGCGATAGCTGCTGCCTCCTGTGTTGCCAGCACCCAGGGTGCAGACCAGCCCAAGTACATTTCTGCCCTGCCTACCGCATATTCTCAAAGGATTTACTCAGTCTAAGTAGGGATGGCCTCAACAGAGGAGAACTGGAGCTACAGTGTTCTAGTATAGGAGCCCTTGAGACGACATACACTGTTTCCTTAGGTTCATAGATTCATAGATGTTAGGGTCGGAAGGGACCTCAATAGATCATCGAGTCCAACCCCCTGCATAGGCAGGAAAGAGAGCTGGGTCTAGATGACCCCAGCTAGATGCCTATCTAACCTCCTCTTGAAGACCCCCAGGGTAGGGGAGAGCACCACCTCCCTTGGGAGCCCGTTCCAGACCCTGGCCACTCTAACTGTGAAGAAGTTCTTCCTAATGTCCAGTCTAAATCTGCTCTCTGCTAGCTTGTGGCCATTATTTCTTGTAACCCCCGGGGGCGCCTTGGTGAATAAATACTCCCCAATTCCCTTCTGTGCCCCCGTGATGACCTTATAGGCAGCCACAAGGTCGCCTCTCAACCTTCTCTTGCGGAGGCTGAAAAGGTCCAGGTTCTCTAGTCTCTCGTCGCAGGGCTTGGTCTGCAAGCCCTTAACCATACTACCATTCTGTAGGCAGAAAGAGGCTGGGGTAGGCTGCAGCTTTGATGAAGGAGAGAACTCCATGGATAGTCCTGTATGCTTTTTTCCTAAAAAAGGTCCTTGCCCAGTGTCAGAAGAACAGACCTATTTCTGTGATCTTTCACCTGTGTCATCTGGGTTGGAAGTTGGCTTAATATGAACCAGGTAAGTAAGAGGAAAAGAAAAATGCTGAAGTCTTAACCCATACCCTGGTCTTCCAGCCTGATAACCTCATGGAAGGGCCTTAGTGGAAAGTAGCTTCTGTCTGTGCTATTCCAGTGCTGGAGAAACACAAGACTTGGTCCTGTTCTTCACTGTATTTGACAACAAGCAGAGCTGCCAATATTTACCAGGCCTTTGCTGAGAAAGGAGATTAAAATAATTATGAGCCAGTTCTTAAGAAGCAAGATGAGCATTTTCTCCCGAAAAGAAACCTAGAACTAGTGTCAGGAGCCAGGAGCAACCTTGGAAGCCCATAGAAAGTCCCTATCTGGACAAGCAAAGCATTGGGGTCTCAGCATCTGCAGAACACAAGAGACGGGCTTGTTGTTGGGATTCCAAATGAGGAAGTTGCAGAAAGGACACTGCTAATCTCTGACCTAACAATAGTACCACCCTGCAAGAAGCCAAGGATCTTGGTGCAAGAAGAACATGAGTAAACATCCCTGTAGGTGAAGAGATGTACCATGACTGTGCCCTCAAGTGCATGGAACTCGCTGGCCAGCATGTTGAGGGCTGTGATTTGTAGGACACTGACTGGTGGCTCCTCCAAGAGAGAAGGAAATAGACCACTGTGTGGAGCAGTCCTAGGGGCTCTTCTGAAGATTCAGGGGGTGGAGAAGTCACCTTATGGCACCTTTGCAGAACACGTCTTGGCTGCACAGCCAGCAGAAAACCTGACCTTTGCTCCTGCCACCTTTGGCATTCATGTTACACCAAGCTTGATTGACTTGCCAAGGCACTCCTGATGGAGAGCTTGTCTCCATTCAACAGTTCATTGGGATTAAAGTAGCATTAGAACTTAAAGACCAAACCAATTCCTAAATCATTCTGTGTATATACAATCTCCATCTGGGATAAAGACTGCCTTGCTTCTCTGCTGAAGTAACTTCATTGGGAAACGTCCTTAGAGAGAGGAGGTTTGTGGTTGCCCTTCCTATGCCAGAGTGTCACCCACTATCCTTTTACAGTATCACCCCTGCACATGGCTAGCTGAGCCCACGCTAGTGTGAGACAACAGTGGTGCAGTACTGCCAGTCAGGAAATGGGATTTATGGGGGCCAGAGCCTTCCATCCTCAGAGCTCTGGTCACTGGAGTATTGCCCCAACATTGCATCAGTCCCAAACACTAAGGCTGTGTCCACAAGAGTGTGGATGTTTGGTTCCCCGGGAACAACTAGCAGTGGGACACCTTGTGCTGCCTCTAGTTGTCCCCAGGGAACACCTGTACCATGTGCCCTCTGGCGCACAGCAGATTACCCTGGGTGGGGTAAGAGAGGCTGGGTCCTTGGGGCTTCCAGCAGTGGCAATCGTGCTGCTTGAAGCCTGGCTGGCAGCCAGAGAGTGGCTCCAGGTGGCCAGGCTCCTGTTTTGAGTGCTGCACACCACAATGTCCCCATGTGTGTCTCTTTGCGCTTCTTTGTGCAGGTTTTTTTGACCTCTGGATATGCAGAGAACAGATGGACATGTGATATGCGGTGCCGCAGACATGTCTGTGGCACCACATAACACACAGCCACGCTCGTCTGGATGTGGCCTATAGGTGCAGACAGAAGTGAGAATTTTCACCCCACCTAGCCCCAGAAAGTGCTCTACAGCCATTACCAAATCCAAGTGCCCAGCTGCAGAGCACTTTAAAAGGGCCCAATCCCATGACAATCTGAACCACCATTATATGAGGCAAAGCAGAGCAACTTCATTAACTTTTATCTGCTCCTGGTGCTGTTCCCAGAAATGGGAGGGGGAGGGAGCAGAGGGAGCTCATTTGGAAGGTTGCGCAGCTGGCACTGGAGAGTGGGGTTGATGGATTGGAGCCCCCCCTCCCCCAAGTTGGGGGGCTCCAATTCACCTGCCCCCCCCCCAGGGCAGCCTGGGGAAACCCCAGAATAGACTCCCCTGCTTTCTCCCCCTCCCATCCTGAGACAGCACCAGGGGCTGGGAGAAGGGAGACAGAACTAGTGGAAGAGGCTGCAGACACACAGCCTCTCTCCCTGGAGTGGCTTCAAATTGGAGCTCAATCCCCCATCCTCCCAGCCCAACATTAGTCTGTAGGGTCGGGAGAATCAGTCTAACTCATGGCGCTTTTTGTGAAGTGCCATTACTTAGGCTGGGGAGTTGCACTTCTGTCTGTGTCACATGGGAGCATGCTTGCAGCAGGAGAAGGTAACATTCAGGTCACCTCCCCATCTCTGCAGCTGTCATTCAGCTCAGGAAACCCCCTACCTTGCTTGCTGAGGCCTGGCACCATAGAGGTGGAGCAGGGCCAGACTGCAGAGCTATCTATGTTTGGGGTTTGTGCCTGCCAAGGACTGAGTCAGGGGCTTGGCCTTTTGCAAGGCTCCAACTCTGAGGAGACTGGCGCCTGATTAAATACTTGTTTGAAGAGATTTGATTTAGAGATGTGGGGTAGGGGCTTTAAAAGTACCTTTTTCTCTTTCACAAGTGACTCAGTTGGTTTGCAGCCTCTTCTGGAAAAATGGTGGTAAGCAAAGGGAGGAGAGAGAGAGACAAGCAAAGGGCCATTTCGGAGTCTTTCCTATCTCTAGTTCTTTGTTGTGGAATGTTTCTAACTTACCCAGAGCAATAAACCCAATGACACAGAAGAGAGTATTTGGGGCTGCTGTGGAGGACGTAACATACTGTAAAGGTCCCAACGCTAAACGCCCTTGACACACGGAGCTGGAACAGGATGTTCCCAACCAGTGTCTCAGCTGTTCTCACACAAGAGTTACTGTGCAGGACAAGGTGTGGATAAGGCCCACATGTTCAGCTAGCCCCTCCTGCTGACACAGCTGGGCTGTTAGCAGAGAAAACTCTCAGGAAACACCTGAACTGAAAAGAATGGGACAATATGCCCATAAAAACTGACAGGTTTCTCACTCCTCCCCTCCCCAAATTTCTAACCAGCATGAAGAAAGGTTGAAGAGGATATCCCTTTTCCTAAAGGGTGGCTATCTGTGAGCAAGTGCAATGCATGCCTATAAATCCCGTTCCCTGTTCTATGCTGAGCACTCACCATTACCCAAATGCATGTTCAAATTCAGGTGCAAGACAGCAACAGCATTCAGCTTTGTGCCTGTAGCTTCTGCCTGGGCTGGAGGAAGGAGTTTTTAATTAGGGGTGGAACTTGTTAAAGCAAAGCTGCATTCCTCCGGCTGATGTACAACATGGAGGTTACCCTTGATCCAACAGATTCCAGCTGTAAATCCCAGCCAGAAATACTAGTGGAAGGCTTCTAGTAATGCCGTTGCTTTCTTGGCTAGTCTCCCAATATTGGGAATTTAAAAAACTAAGTGGGTTGTGCAATGAAAGAAGCACAGGAGAATAAGAGAGGGAAAAAGAAGCAATTGTGACAGGGCCACAGACCCAAACTTCTTCTGCCCTCAGGTGGCCGTTTATATCTGTAGCAATGAACTAATGCTCCTCTGTTTAATTTATTGTCCTTTTTTGCTTCCCTCCAGAAGGTCTTTTTTATTTTAGGACCTGGCCTTACCCCTCTTCTCAGGGCATTAGTGAACACTTGATGCTTCCTGGGCCAGGAGATTCTGACCAAGTAGATCACAGGCAGGCAGAGCAGAAGGCAATTATTTTCTCTTCCCTTTGTGCTGTCCATGTAAAAGTACTTATGGTCCACTTCTGGGTTCGCCTCTGAGAACGTGGAGGGCCCCTGCACTCCTGTGGGATGCTCCATGTGCCCCAGCATCGCAGCATTCACAGGCCATGCTGGGACCTTGAGGTATGTAGAAAAAACTTTTAAAGCTGTGTCTATGTCCGAATAGCTGATTCTCCGAATCAGCATTGAATCTTCAGATCTGGATTTGGCCGAATCGAATCAGGGATAGCGATCCAAATCAATTACTCGCATCACTGTCCCTGATTCTGGCTGAATCTGAATCGAATAGGGCCTACTTCGCACACCCCTAGTAAAGACTTAATGGAGCAATGGCTGTTCTGCAGGGTAATTGCTGCTCCACTCATACTCTTCACCCTTCCCACTGAAGGGTAAGGCACCTCAGGTTCCCCTGGGGGCCAGGAAGACAGGGAGCAAAGGGTCTGGGGTCCACATGCTTGGTTCTTAGGCAAGAAGTGCCCTCTGCTTCCCTTTCTTCCCACTCTGGAGCAGTGGTCAGGCTGCAAGAGTGCAGCACATGGCACCTTTTGGAGGTTAAAAAGGAAATCCTTTCCTTTTGGAGGTTACAGCTTTCGGAGGTTACAGCTCTGAGGTTGTTACTTCTAAGAATTCTTTACCAGGGCACCTTGGGATTTGACACAGAACTCGTCCAATTTGGTATCAAGCAAGCTTTATTCATAACCCCCAGGCTGTATACAAATATTTTTTATATATATATAAATATATATATATATATCAGACCTGACAGGCAAGATAAGAGCTTTACAGTAATGGCCGTCAGTCAGCTGAACCTCAGATCCCTCACTGGGTGTGTGATATTGCTAGGTGTCTCCTGACCCAAGTTTCAGAGGCAGGAAACACAGCAGCTGCATCCATCTCCCCAGGTTCGCAGCATGCTTACACAACCACACATACCTGATCCCTTTTCATACTTTCACTTCTGCAGCTTTTTGGTTGCCATCTCCAATGATCTATTTTTACTATATGGAGAAGATGCAAAGAAATCACTGCAATTGTCATCTTAGCATTTACTTCGGTCTTGGGCCTAGTCTTGCTCAAAACCTTAGCATGACTCAAAAATCTCACTTTACAGAGGTCAACTTATTCACCTTCTTTGAGGAGCAATACCTGAAAGGTCAGTGGGCTCACACCCTTGGGTGTGGGAGGGCTGGGCCCCTAAGAGATGGGCTGCCATGTCAGAACCTCCCAGCTTGGGGAGATTCTGTGTTTGCCGCCTTCAGCACTTGGAGGAGGGGATGGCTCTGAACTTTCACACTACCACCCCACGAGGAAGGAAAGCTCCTGTTGGAGCATGCAACAGTAATGCAGGAAGCTGCAGGGCTGGTGTGGCAGGGTGCCACACAAATGATTTGTAACTCCTAGCCATTATTTAGATATTGAACAACAATGCACAAACCCTCCTCTTTGCTGTATTAAATGCTAAATAGCAGTGGATGGGCACTGACACCTTCCAGTGGATTTGGCTTAATACAGCTATTGTCCTTCAGAAATGTACCATGTGCAGTGAGATGGCCTCCCTCTGGCAAGTTAGAGGAACAATAGGGATTTAGAAATTATACCCCAGGTAAAATGCAGAGAAACGGCTGGGCACAGGTGAGACAATACAGCAGTAACACTAACACAGCCTGGTCTGGGCCAGGTCTGGAACGCTGACAAGACACTGCCACCTCGTGGTGAGCTACTGCTGGCTAGGCACAAACATCTAAATGCAATGCAACCCCTCACCATGACTTGGAGATGTCCTGCAAACTCTGCTGTAAGGGGCTGCCTAGAGACATGCCATTAATTCAGAAACCCCTTCATTGGTGCAGAGTGAGGGGTCCTCGCCATGCTGGTTTGGGGAGACTATCAGAGGATGTGTTCAGTTCTTCTCATCCCTAGCAATTTGATTTAGGAATTCAAAAGGAGAAAAGACCATCCATAAGCCTGAAACCAGCCTTCCTCATAGAGCCTTGCCATGGCAAAGAACCTGTCATGCCCTTTCCTGTATCCCCCAGGGCCAGGGTAGGACTGAAGATGCACTGAAAGGACCAGGGATTTTTCTGCAGCCTGTTTCAATAGCTGGAGCACTGGGAATCACCTCTAAGGACCCATCCTGGCTCATATCAACCTTGCTGGGCTTGTCCACGCCACAACTGTAGATCTTTGGCAGCATGGCCATATACAGACATTCAAAAAACCCCGAGCCTGAATTGATTCAATCTTTGCAGGCTAGTCTAAGCTGCGTAGATTGAAGTGGCAAGGAAGTGAATAGACATTCACTTTTTTGAGTCTGAGAATACAGCCACATGCCTGTAGTGGCTCAAGCTAGAAGTGAGCCTTCCCTTTCCTTTGGCAGCAGCCGCAAGGCTGGAGGGAAGCTGAGCGGAAGTGAGGTGGCCAGTTACTGTGCAGGACTAGGTGTGGATAAGGCCCACATGCTCAGCTGGCCCCTCCTGCTGACACAGCTGAGCTGGAAACAGAGAAAACTCCCAGGAAACACCTGAACTAAAAAAATTGGGACAATATGTCCATAAAAACTGAGACAGGTTTCTCACTTCTCCCCTGCCCAAATTTCTAACTAGCTGTAGGCCAGGCATAAAGAAAGGCTTGACGAGGATCTCTCTTTTCATAAAGGGTGGCTCTCTGTGAGCAAGAGCAATGCATGCCTATAAACCCTTTCCCTGGTCTATGCTGAGCACTCACCGTTATCCAAATGTGTGTTCAAATTCAGGTGCGAGACAGCAACAGCATTCAGCTTTGTGCCTGTAGCTTATACCTTGTGTCTATCCATGTGAGTTTGCTGACACGCTCCAGTGCAACCAGTTTGCCCAAGGGACTACTCTGGGCTCATCCCTAGCACCTGTTCCTGCATCCTCAGTCCTTCAAGGCATGAGAATGACCACTGGAGACAGGTCCAGAGCAGCCCTAGTTGCAAACTTGTAGCTCTGGAGGACATCCATGGACTCAGATAGGCAGGTCATGCTTAGCCCTGTCCTGTCTGACATCTATACTGCAGGACTGATAAACAAGCCCATTGCATTTCCCAGAACCTTCACCCAAATTTTAGCTTATGCTGGACTCCATCCCTTCGTACTAGATTCAGTCCCTCTGTAGGCCCCTCACAAACTCCAGTCTCTGCTTAGAATTTGGACTTCGCAGAAGAATACTGGAGAGAGAAACTAAAGACTGCATGTTGTAGTCTCTCTGGGAGGGAACTTTACTGGGGGAACTTCTGTGTCCAGTCCCACTGGAATGTTTTCTGGGATCCCTTTCCATGAATTTTATACTAATGAATGGAAAATACTCATTGCCACCATGCATTCCATTAGTGAAAAATATTGAGTTGCAGATGGGACTTTTTTTTCTTTCTTTTTTTTTTCTGTGGTCATAAGGTCCTTGGCTGCATCTCCGTTAGAGTTCAGACAAAACACACAGTATATCAAACAACAGAAGTACTAGCATGATGACATCAAATTATACATAATCACCATCCTAATACTCATAGACACGTTCTACATTATGAAATAAGTGTACAGCTGAAGCAGACTTTGCTCAACCTGAGCTAAAGGGTATGTCCTGGGCTGAGAGCAGGAAGATCAGGGTTTGCCATTAGCCTCCTGTGAGAGCTTGAAGAAATCACTGCACATGTATTTGTCCTATCCATCGTTTGTGGGCTTCTTTGGAGAAGGCATGCCTACATTATCCATTTGTACAGTACCTAAAACAGTGGGGTTTGATCTGGGTAAGAGTCTCTAAGTACAACTGTAATACAAATGAGAATATTAGTGCCCCATTCCTGTTTAGAAGACCTTACTTTTCACAAACGAACTAAAAAGACAGTCTTAATCCATCCCATACAGATTTATCTCCTTCTTGAAAACCTTTTATAGAGAAGAGACCTCAACTTCCTTGCATAGCTTGTACCACTTGCCCAGATGTTTTTGTATCTGGGAAGCTTTTTTCTCCAAGATCCGAGCAAATCATTGCATATGCTGTTCTTGCTCCATTGTCAGAATTACAAGACATCACTGGAAAAGTGGTTGACATTAACTTTAACAGCAAAACCTGCAGAATTTGGCATAGCTTGCCACATTTTCCATTATTGTTGGCAGTGGGCTGACAACAGTCCCTGCATTAACTGAAGAGTTGCTCTGTGGTGCTTTTTGATGCATCAGTGTTTCCTGTGTATTCTTACTAACTCAGCTCACCTCCAATTCAATTAGTCTGTAAGGTGCAACAACATCCTGTCTTTTGCTTGACTTCAGATTAACACAAGGGCAGGCAAAATATGGCCCACAGGCTGATTCCAGCCCACCAGGCCGTTCTATCCAGTCCATGGGGCCCCTAAAAAGTTTAGAAAATTAATTATTATCTGCACGTGGCCACCTATCAAAGATGATGAGGTGCCAGTGGCAGCAGGACCCAAGAGAAGCTGGTGGCAGGACCCAGCCTGTACAAGAGTAGG